ACACACACACACACACACACACACACGCACACACACACACACACACAGACACACACACACACACACACACACACACACTGTGCTGGTGGCAGCCTCCTTCGAATGCTGCCTGTGGGTATGCCGTCGAAATGAATTACCAAAGGGCCTGCCGTCACAGTGTACGAGTGGTACTGAGCGACCGGCGGATGTTTGGAAGCTCTCCGTAGTTTTGGGAGGCTGAATGCCAGTGTTCTGCTGATTTGTTCATTCGTTTCGATGGTAAATTGCATCAGCTGCTTCGAAGCAAAACTGGGAACGGAGAGACATGGACGGTCTTGCCGGCTGCTGGTCCCTGCTGCTGCTTGCACTTCGCTGCATTCAAAGAGGGAGGGGGAGCAAGAGACCTCAGGCAACACTGTAGCACCCGAAATAGTGAGCGGCTAAGCGCCTGAGAAGCCACTTTTTGTTGCGAGGCATTGGCCACACGATTTGTAACTTTTTATGCGTTTTGTGCTGTGTAACAGCAGTACAAAACACATGTTGTCACGGGGTTGTCTGTGTGTGTGTCCTCAGCAACTTGTCCGCAACTTTCAACTCGAGAACCACAAAAGCTAGGAAGCTGAAAATTTAGGGGGACATTTCCCACCCACGTGTGACCCCGCAAATTTAAATTCAGCTTCCCCATACCCGCGGGTAACAGATATGCCCCCGTGAAAGTTTTTTATGGGTAAGTTAATATCTCGGGAACCACGAAATCTAGGAGACTGAAATTTTACGCTAATAACCCCCTGCCCACTCTCAACCTTGCCCATTTAAATTCAGTGTTCTCGCGCTCTCGGGTACCACCTATGGCCTCGTGAAAACTAACTCGGGAATCACGAAATGATATTCATTCTTCAAGGTTTCAAATTCAGCTTTCATACGCTGGTGCGTGAAATTTTCAACTGTTTTCCAATGTTTGAACTATTTTAACTAAAGTACAAAGCAGTGGAAATCATTAATAGGCAGTCGTTCGATGGGCTGAATTGCACAGAGCGCATGACCGCACTGGCTAGTCTGGTGCGCGTTGCCATTTATTTGGATTGGGTCACCTTTTCATTTCTTACACTTCCGGAGTTTCTGTTTAGGCGAATGTACTTACTGTTCATTGCTTCTTGGCGCATTCGCTCTTCTCATGTATTTTAGGAAAGAATTCACCTGTAAATGGTATGCACTGGTCCAATGGACATGGAATGCAGCGTGCACGAAACCGTGGAAAAGCTCGTGGCCGCATATCTTCGCAAGCGAAATGTATTCTTTTGTTTTTTTTTTGCCCATTCACTACTGACTGATAAATCTGTGTCGCGGCACTGAAGTGCAGCATCGGATCGTCGAATTCTCGATCGATAAGCAGATCGGTTTCATTCGCTGATTAACGGAAACTGCTCCAACTTCCAAACAACAGTGATGAGACGGAGATCGGATTAGAAGTCGAAAATCCTTTCCCTCCCTATCAATAGTGGTAAAAATTTTGAACATATCTTTTGATCATCGAGGCAAACTTCAAAGCAGGGCTGCTCACTAATTGTGAATGGCGCACCAAAAGGGCCACGTTCTTACTATAAGCTGCTGCTGCTGCAGAGATTGGAAACTGCAAGGTTGTTTAATTGTTGCAAGTCACTCGAAGTTTGAGGTCGGGGCAAAGCAAGGCTTGAGAAGCAGTTCCATTTTTTTGCTCCCAATCACTTACTGGAGGCTGCTGCATAGAAGACTTTGGTATTTGAAGAAGAAAAAGAAGAAAGGCTGAATAATCCCCGCCCGGGCTGAACCTATTGATCACATATATTCTCTGGCGGCCTCTGAAGGGCCCAGTGTGTTCTGTTTGAAAACCCCAAGTTCTACATCGGCAGGAAAGCTTTAATCAAATATTTATTATCTGCAAATTCTCCCATCTAATAGTCTTCCTTGTTCTGTGGGTAAACTAAATGACAGACAGGATAAGCAGTGCTTGGAAGCTGAGTGCAGGGTGTCTGTTTAAAACCACATCATTTTACGACTCATTTCGATAGCAGATTGGTGCTAACATATGCCAAAGAGTTAAACTCGCCATCAGCCTACCTACTTATAAGCAACGCGCAGAAGAAATAGCCATCGACAGCCTTGCCGGCGAATGGTTGCTTTTGGCATCCCCCCCACCACCACCTGGGCTTCTCTCACCGAGTGTCTCCATTGCCAGTAAGCGCAAAATACGGAGGGTTTTTTGACTTTTTGCCAGCTTGTAACATTCCTATTTATAGATTTGCAAAATTAACCTCATCTTGGATCCAATGTTGTAGTCGGGTGATAATAGTAAGTGGAAACTGACTTCGATCGCTCTTCGAAAAAAGGGCGATCTGTTAAATTTTTCGAAGGCTAGCTTTTTCAGATTTCAAGTCATAAAGTTATTTTGAATTTGATATGTGCTTGTATGGCCGAAAATAGGGGATTGATTACCCTTTTTTTTTTGTGCGTTTTCGCATATTTATGCAAATGAAGAAACTCATATTGTAAAGAGGCTTTCTCCGTGTTTGTTCGGAGAAGAGGGGGCTTTGGTTATCACTTTCAATTCTGCAGCCAGGAAAGCTGGGAGACAAATTTTGCGATGTTATCGTCCGTCTGGGAAAGTATATCGAATTGGAGTTTCAAATTGTACTTGCTCTGTCTGTAGGTCACCTCTTAGACATTTGTAGCAAAATGGAGATTTCGCGTATCGAATAAGCTACAAAGCTGGAATTTTAAAGAACATTCTATGTCTGCGTGTTAAGTTTAGCTGAAGGCTAGATTTCCTCCACACGGCCATGATAAATGCACGATTCTAGCATAGCCTCAAAGGCGATTGCATTTTGCTGGGATTTCGTCATCCTTCTTTCTCTCGCAGCATCCTGTTCATTGTCTAATTTGCGCCTTTAATGAATAGCGCTGGCGACAGCAAATTCATTTCCCTTTATGCAAAGTTTATGGTAATAATGCATGCTGGAGGTTAAGATTTCACGTTGCTCCGTGATGCAACCCCGCCATACCAGCCGACGCCTTTCCCATCTAAAGATCAAAACACCGCCAAAATGAGTACACATGTTAAGCT